CAGGCCCGAGCACTTGTCTCATGCATCCAACCTGGGCTGGTGAACTGTTTCACCCTAGATAATATACGTGTTTCAATGCTGTTCTCTTGAAACATCCCACCCTCGCCTTCTTCCAGAGTCCACAAGTCTGTTCTATACATAGGAGTCTCTTTTTCTGTTTTGCACATAGGGTTATCGTTACCATCTTTCTAAATTCCATATATATGTGTTAGTATACTGTAATGGTCTTTATCTTTCTGGCTTACTTCACTCTGTATAATGGGCTCCAGTTTCATCCATCTCATTAGAACTGATTCAAATGAATTCTTTTTAATGGCTGAGTAATATTCCATGGTGTATATGTACCACAGCTTCCTCATCCATTCGTCTGCTGATGGGCATCTAGGTTGCTTCCATGTCCTGGCTATTATAAACAGTGCTTAGGCAGCTGATTCTTAAGCACAGGTGAGTTCCTTCAAATAGGTTCATGAAGCATTACAAAGGTGTTGGTTGTAGCCAGACTTTTGGGCTTATTTACATGGTGATTTTGTTGTTTGACAGTAACTTGATCCTTTTCCTTCCCTCAGTTTTCATGATTTATTGAATGAGTCTCCAGAGGTTATATTTAGGACTCTCTGTGACATACCGCCCGCTGTCCCTGTCCACGGGCACTCTTGACCTCTAAAGCTTTGGTGTCCATTTCTGAGGGTTCATAGTTTCCTCTTATAGGAATTCTACCTCTTTAGAAGGTAAACATATTTTCCTATTCTAATTAACAGTTCCTCCCATCAGCATAATGACCCGAAGCCATTTTATTTGAAATAGTAGTAAAGAGATGTTGACCCAGTTAAAATCTAAGCCCCTCTCAAATCATTTCATCTCTTAATTTTCTTCCATTTTCTATATATGCCATAGGTCATCTGAAAAAAAGAAATCAAACCAAGACATTTTGCTAAGAAAATGAAATTACTTTATTCCAGAATTTTCAACTCTTCTGCTTATTAGAATGACATCTCCTCTCAGTCTTCAGAAAAAAATCTTTGATGTCTTTCTTTCAATTCCCACTTACAATCTTATTTCTTCTAGGTGTCCCTAATAATGGAAATGGGAGTGGGTGTTTACTTATACCAACCACATGGCAATCCTATTCCTAAAAGGACCTGTGGATGGGTGGAAAAGAGATGATGCATCTTGTTTGATGATTTGCCTTTTGAGAAGGAGTTTGCTGTGATTGATTCTTTTTTAAAATTTGTATTTATTTATTTATTTGTTGCTGTGCCTGGTCTTCACTGCTCTGAGGAGGCTTTCTCTATTTGCAGCAAGTAGGAGCTACTCTTCGTTGCGGTGTATGGCTTCTCATTGCGGAGGCTTGTTGCAGAGCATGGGCTCTAAGCACGCAGGTTCAGTAGTTGTGGAGCAGGAGCTTAGCTGTCCAATGGCATGTGGAATCTTCACTAACCAGGGATCGAACCTGTGTTGCCTGTATTGGCAGACGGATTCGCAATAACTGGAGCACTAGAGAATCCCTGTGATAGCCTTGTATAAGTTGTTGATAAAAATTTAAATTTGTACTTCCTTTAAAGAAAGAAATATGCTAGTACATACCTAGAGTTTAAAAAAGACTCTGTTCTTCAATCCAGTAAATCCTCTGTTAATAACGTACACTAGGGCAAAGTTTAAACATACAGTGATTTGTCTGCAAAACACACATTGCCTCATTCTTTATAATAACAAAAAATGGGGACATGTGGGAACACACCGACTGACCAATGAAAGAAGAAAAATAGGCAGAGATGTCATAAAAGAATGCTACTTGGTCATGTTTCAAAGTATATGCAGTGGCATGGAAACTAATATAACAGAACTTTTAGTATAATATATTCTATCAACTGTCATTATGTTCTTAAAGTATATTACATATATTTGTAGAAAGGAAACATAAATAGAACTGGTTGCTAAAAGTGCTATCTCTATATTGTGAAAGCATGGGTAATTTTTTTTTTTACCATGTGTTTCTTTATTTTATGTGTTTCTTTACTTTTAAAACTGGAAAACTGATACTTTTTAAAAAGACTGAAATAACTCAGAGAGGAGACATTCTCTCCCCCCTCAGGCTAAATCTATCACAGACATACTTTTTCTCCATACTGATGTTCTGTCTTTTACATCACACGCATCTGTGATGATAGCAAGAGGAATAGGGACTGGAGCCATCGAAACAGCTGCCACACACCCATGATCTTTGGGGCTTACCAGGTGCCTCTAGTGTTAGAGAGCCTGCCTGCCAGTGCAGGAAACTTAAGAGACGTGGTTTTGATCCCTGAGTTGGGAAGATCTCCTGAAGTAGGGAATGGTGACCCACTCCAGTATTCTTGCCTGAGAGTCCCATGGACAGAGAAGCCTGGTGGGCTGCAGTCCGTAGGTTTGCAAAGAGTCGGACAAGACTGAAATGACTTAGCACAGCACAGCAGGGTAAAGCTTGAGAGGATGTTCATCAGTTTTTGAGACCATAGAGATAAGTAGTGACAAAGCTCACTAAATATACATAAAGGTCACAGTGTGAGAAATCATGTTGACTATAGACAAATACAAAGTCTTCTTTCCACTAGCTTTTGCTGAAGACTCCTCATTTTATCTATTTAGATTGAACCCAGAGTGGACTTGAGGTGTGTAGCGTGTCAAAGGAATGCCACGGTGACTTATTTGTCAGTTGCATTAAAAATATTGATTGATATTGTGCAGATTATATGGGCAGTTGGTTCATTTCTTGGTTTTTAATTGTTGTTGAATACCAGTTTAATGGTATTATAATTTAATGGTATTAACAACCAATAATGTTTGTTAATTGATGAATATAAAGTAAATGTCAGGCTCAGGTAACAGAGAGGTGCTCTTGCCTTTACCAAGGACAACTGAGGAGAAATTCCGGTTCCCAAAGTGTTGCCTACGTTACTTAGATCAAATAGTTTCCAATATTTGGAATAACTGTAAGCTTTATGAAATAAAATTTTACCAACACCTGATCAGTGTGGGATTCATTTACTTACATATTGAAATAGGGACATGATAGCCAAAACATGTGAACTATTGCCCCAAACATCCTCTCCTGGAGGCTAGAGGATTATAAATTACTGAGGCTTCCCCAGTAAGGGATTTGGAGAAAATGAGACAAGGGAAATCAGAGTTATATTTCAGCTGTCATCCTAGATTATTCCCTGAGGATACCATCTTAATATACAGCTGTTACTTCAAATGCCAACCAAAGACTGGGGATTATTAAATGTTCAGATATTATTTGTTCAGAAACTGAACAGAAAACTTTATTTGACCTTAGAGGCATCTTTAAACTTGGAAGGTCTGGTCATCTCACCTATAATAGGTCAAAAAGGAGACATTTATAATGACAAGTAGAAACAGAGATTAAAAAAGTATCACTTCAGTATGGAGAGGGGAAATCTGAGGATATTTGTGAACAAAGTGAATACTCTTGAGCAGCAATTCAGCAACATTTTCACAATTCCTGACCTAATTGTGTATGTTGCACCCTTGAAGCTTGAATAAAGGAAGTTTAGGACAATTACTTTGTACAGAAATACTACTATGCCTAATACATGATGCACTTCAGAACTAATCTGAAGACATGGTAAGGATAAGAATGGAAAAAATTCAAGCTCTGCTCAAGTATAAGCTGAGTTTTGTACATCATCATTTATGGTTGGTGTCATGTCCCCTCTCATCATAAACCTCTGACCCTCTGGGGCACATGCCCTGTGATCCCATGAACAAATCCCTACTGGCCACTGTTTTTGTCCTGATATTCCTCTGTTGCTCAGCACATTCAATGACCTGCTCAGTGCAAACATCTTAGTGATGACAAAGAATATTAATCGTATAGAGAAATCACCCCCTTGTTCTTAGTCTATTATCACACTAATAATAACTGCTAAACTTTATTGCCACGTTATTGTCCCATGCTCTGTTCTCAGTGGATCTGATACAGCTCATCGAATTTGGATACGAACCCAACAAAGTGGTACTATTCAGATGCCCATTCACAAGTGAAGAATCTGATTCACAGATACACAAATTAACTTTCTCAGAGTGTCACAGTAACTTGGTGATAGAATCAGAATTTAGACTCCAGCAGTCTGGCTCCAGCCCCTAACCCTTATACATTTCTGCCACTATGTGGACTGAAAGGGGACGTAATTAATGTCTGAGAAACACTTAGCAATATCCTTTCACTCGCTAGCCTGGTGATGCTGACCATTTTTATCTTTGGAGCCAAAGCTGACATACCCTATTCTATATTGCTTTCGCCTAGGCTTAGGAAAAGGGAAATGACAGATGACTGAATGGAAAAGGATGAAGTCTTTTGGTTTAAATCCTAATAGTTTTACTTACCTGGTTTAGCCCAGGTTGGTACATCTTACTTGCTTCACCAAGGCTAGGAGTCTCTGTAGACTCCTACCAAAGCTCCATGTTTGGTAGATTCAGAGGTGGTCCTTCATATGTGCCTAGCTGGCCAAATGTATAAACAGAAGACACATCAGGAGAGGATAACTCAGGAGTAGAAGCACTTTGAAAATGATGACAGGAAAAAAAAAAAGCTTATCACCTGTCCCATGGAAAGGGAATGTGGGAAGTGAGGGTCTGGGAGAGCGTTGGTAGCTCTCCATTGAGCAGTGATCTGGCTATTCTCTCAGAGATGCCGGCTGTGTTTCAGTTTTCTAAGTGAGACCCCCAGGCAGTATGTTGTTTATCAAATGGGGGCAACCAGTATGAAACCAGGCATTTATAGGTGTTCACACAGGAAGCTGTATTACTCCTGCCTATTCTCATAGGTACTCTCTGGCAAAAGCATGTGCACATGCATACACACACACATACACACACACACGTACTTTGTCTATGCATTTAAGCATTTCATTCCTGGCCATTTATAAGAAAAGTGGCTCCCTCTCTCATAGCTTACTAATGTGATACTTTTTCCTCTCTTTCTTTTATTTTAATCACAGCAGAATCTAAGAAGAAGAAAAAGGAAGGCAAGAAACAGAAGATGCTGGACTAAAAGCAGCCAGCTTCCGTGGACCACGAAAAGGACATCAGCAAACAGGATCAGTTAACTATTGCATTTATATCTACCGTAGGCTTTTTATTCAAAAATTATCTATAGCTTAAGTACACAATAGGCAGAAGCAAAATGAAAAGAAAAATTTTGTAGTAGCATTTTTTTAAATGTATCAATATACCATAGTACCACTAGGGACTTATACTAGAGGACTGTAATCCTATTTAGAAAGTTGACTTATAGTACATGTTAAGTGATAGAAAACTGAGGTAAGTTTTTTGAAGTTATGTGATATTTTACATTAAATTTTTTTTTTACATTTTTTTCTTTTGGCAGCAATTTAAATGTTATGACTATGTAAACTACTTCTCTTGTTAGGTAATTTTTTTCACCTAGACTTTTTTCCCAATTGAGAAAAATATCTACTAAACAAAGCAGCAATAAAATATGATCATCCTATTTGAGGAAAATATCTTTTTTTCTGCCAGTGGATTTTTAAAAAGTTATACTCAGTAAAATGAGGGGAGGGTGGTCACAGCATGTCCTAGTTCAATGTTGACTTTTTTTAAAAAGAGAAAGCATTATAAGATGAAATTATTTCACATTGGCAGAAATATTTGTTTTTTGATGAAATTATTTTTCCATTGGAGGAAAAAAAAAAGACGAGGAAAATAAATCAAGGTGATGCTGAAAAAAAAATGCTTTTGTGTGCAGTAATTTGATATTGTAAGCCTTCTCTCTTTGTCACCTACGTTGCCCCAGCTCATCTGTTAGCAGTGAGAAATGATCATACACACTAATTAAATCACTCTTGGGCACAAATGTTATAGAGGGTTTACACAGCTGTAGATGTAGGTCTATAACTATATTTTAAACTTTCTTCAGTATATAATAGGTTGGACTGGTGCTACCGAATTAAAGTTCCAAACTAGTCTAGGGTTTGGTGGAACGGAAAATACTCTTCTTCTATTGAGTAAGTTTGGACTTTGTTGTTGTTCAGTCGCTAAGTCGTGTCTGATTCTTTGTGACCCCATGGACAGTAGCACACCGGACTCCTCTGTCCACTATCTCCCAGAGTTTGCTCAGACTCATGTCTGTCAAGTCGGTGATGCTATCTAACGATCTCATCCTCTGCCACCCCCTTCTCCTTTCCCAGCATCTTTCCCAGCATCAGGGTCTTTTCCAGTGAGTGGTCTCTTCACATCAGATGGCCAAAGTATTGGAGCTTCAGCTTCAGCAACCCTCCTTCCAGTGAGTAATCAAGGCTGGGTTTGCATATTAATACCAGGCATAATGGTTGCTTGTTATTGGTTTCTGTAAACCAATAATTCCTACTCTATTATCTACTGTATGAGTACCACAGACTATACATACAAGTAACTCGCTTATCTGCTGGGCTCTAAACACAGTTTTTAAGTAAATACAACTATGCTTCTATTATTCAGAGAAATAACACCTCAGAAGTCAGCTGGGGTTAGCCTCAAAGTATTTCTCTAGAAAAATCCACCTTTACTTTTAAAGGGATAAGACTCAATAAATAACACTTACCTATCAAGATAACTCTAAGTCCACTTTCAGAAATGATGGTTTCAATACCTTTCAATAAACTAATTACAAACCGGCTAATAATGCCGCCAAGGTGCCTTCAAAGTTGAAATATTTTTGCCATCTGGTCAAAGACTCCACTTGAGCTAGGAATGTTGGCAGGGTCCATATCTTCCCACTAAATCAAAGCCAACTGCCAGTGGGCAGTAGAAAAAGGAATGAACCTCTAGGCACATATGTGGAACAATTTATAGACTGGTGCTTAATAAGAGCAGAGTACCTTGTAAAGTGCAAATGCAGAAACATGAATAGTGAATGCAGTTCTTTTACAGGTGAACCTTAATAGACGAAAAGTACTCATGGGAATGGATGGAGGAGATGAAAGGGAGGCATTATCCAGACTGGGTTTTGTTGACAGCAAAGACTCTGCAAGGAGAAGGATGGTGGGAAGGCCTGAAGAATGTTTTGTTAGCCTCTCACCTAATATTGCTCCTCCATCATCATTTAGCCAAAATAGCAGCCCATGAATCAGTAATGAGCTGAGGTAAACTAAAACACAATCTCCCACAGGAAAAGCAGTCCTGTAAATAATCGTGGCATTCCCTCTTTTTTTACCCCAGGACATGGCAGGAAGCCAGGGGCTCTCTGCTGTATGAAGGGTGATTCTTAACACAGCATACACTAACTCCCTGATTTTCTGTGAAGGTAAGGGTGCGGATGCTAATCTCCACTGCATAGAGTATGAAATTAAACTTAAATTCTCAAGAATTATTCCATCCCAGCCTCAGCTTTAAACACCTTGCTAAATCTCACTGAAGTATTGAAAACATAAATACAGAAGGACAGGCTCTGAAAATCACTGACTTGACAAATAGAAAAAGAAAGACCATTTTCAGTATTTCGTGGAGTGCCCCAGCAAGCTCTCTCTTCCAATCATTCTGAGTTTTATGAACTTATTTATCCTAGTGTTCTTTAAGCCTGGAGGAAGGAAAGAGAAATGGAAAGAAATCAGCTATGTTTCCTTAAGGGACCTTAGACTGAAGACAAGTTTTCTTCCAATTATCAAAAACAATCTTCCAGTTACCAAACGTGTCCTTATTCAATATGGTGACCATATCCTTCACACTTGGATTTTGACAGGCTTTCTTATTTATCCTGATTGTATGAATCCTATCACACTATATTCCTAGAATGACATCATAATGTCTTGTTAACTCTGTAAGAATAGAACTCCAAATAGAACTTAATGCTCTAAATAGTTATCAAGTTCTACTAAATTGTGGAGGTATTGAAAAAAAAGAACTATATAATTCCATTTATGGGTCTTTGACCATAAGAAGCCTTATTTAAGAAAAGAAACATCACAGTCCTTTACCCACTGAGAAGACAGATTTCTTTAGGAATAAGAAAGAGATACACATATTTTCCTATAATATGTAACTCTTGGTTCCATATATCTGAAAGTCTGAAATTGTTTCATAACTTCTTTGGTTTCAGTGAAAAACAAAGGTAAATACGCTTTAGGAAACACCGAATGAGGCAATATAAAATACAATCTTTCACCAATTGAGTTATTTTAAAATAATTTCCAAACATAAAAATTCAACTTTTATCAACCTTCAGTTGTGGGATTCTCTAATGGAGTGAAACAAAGGGCTTTATTCCCATTAACCTTCTTCAGAAAATAATGCAACAAATCAGCATCCTTAGATGTGCAATATCGAAGCATTTGATCTCTCTCTCTTTTTTTCTGGCTTGCTTTTAATTTAATTAGTTTTAAGCCTTAAGCTTTTAAAAGTGAAATCAATCAGAAGGCACGAGTGTAGAGAATCATGTTCCAACACTTCTCATGTAAATTCAAATTTTAGATTCTTTGGAGTAAAACAGGCTCCTCACTGTCTACAAGCTTATTTCTGAGTTACAAAAATTCTCTCCATGTTTTTCCCTATCTTATCATGTTTTCCTCCTGCATTCTTCTACTCAATCTGGGCTGCCAGAGGACACTTTTTTCTTGCATCTGGAAATTTAAGCAGCAGACAGCTTATTTAAGCAGAGAGTAATGTCTCCAGGTCTGTCAAATAGATGTATTTTCAATCTTCCAGTACTTTCAAAGAAGACATAGAATCTTGGAATACATTTCCATAAAGGGTAAGGAGCATAATTTTATTCAGAGCATTTAGCCAGTAATACCTACCTTATACTTGTGTGGACTTTAATTCTCCTAGAAGTAAAATATATGGAACATTTTAATCAGAGAAAAACATGTCATGATCTTAGCAATCCATCCCCCTGACCAATGTTTCTCTTCTTCCCAGTCTTTCAAATTTCCAAACAAGGCACCAGAAGTAAAGTAAATGTTCAGTCCTATTAGGGTCACAAGTAAAATCATGTCATTCAAGAATATTTCAACACAAAGGCATGCAAACTGACTTGTGTTCTATTTTTTTTTTAATTTAAAAAGAAAATAAAGAACAATTAGCTCTCAATATCTAATTTCTGTAATATAATTCTTAAGGGACAAAACCTTGACCAGCAGAACACTGATATAGTTATTATGTGTGTATATCCACTACAACTATAATATTAAGTTGTTAGTGGGATTGGCTAAGGAGGTTATATGCTCTTGCTCAGCCACTCAGTCGTGTCTGACTCTTTGTGACCCCATGGACTGCAGCCCATCAGCTCCTCTGTCCATGGGATTTTTCAGGCAAGAATACTACAGTGGGTTGCCATTTCCGCCTCCAGGAAATCTTCCTGACCCAGGGGTCAAACCCACGTCTCCTCTACTGCAGGCGGATTCGTTACTACTGAGCCCCTGGAGAAGCTTAAGGGGGTTATATATCTAGGTTATTGCAACGTATTTTCTTTTGTTCTTTGGAAATGTGCATGGAAGCCATGCAACTATGTTAGAGAATGACAACGTGGAAAATCCTGACATCATGTAGTTAAGCTGGGAATGGAGGGATACCTCACGGAGTATACAGAGTATACACATGTAGTGACTGAATCCATATATGCAACTTGCTGTTAGTGGAGAGACAAAATAGTACAGAAAATACATTAATCGCAACGAGTCATTTTTCTCCTGTCTTTTGGTTGTCAGATCCATCAAATATAGGAGAAAGAAATCTTCAAGTGTCTTAGTTTATGAGATTCTTGGAGAATTACATGAATATCTCAGTTGCTATAAATGACCAACAGATTGAGATGCTTACAATAAATGATATAAATTTTATAGACTTCTAAGTCCAAAGTTGCATGCTTTTAAGGTGTTCATAGCTAATAATTCAACTTCTCATCAGTTTCATTAGAGATATGCCAATCTGCTATCTTGCCACAAGGAAGAAGAGAGAGTTATTAGGGGTCTATTCTGGGATGTGGTCAGGAAGAAAATGGGCAAGTTTTGTATAACTGTTTCGATCAAGAATTCCTGAAGTCTCTGAATTCCTTCCCTCTATATTAAGCTAAAAAATATCTGGCCATTTAAGGTCATTTTCTATTGGCACCATTTGGTTTATGAGTTAAATTTGTCAACATAACCAATACTGGAAATTGAACTCAGACTCTGGTGAAGGCATCCTTATCAAGAAGCTTGATCATATTGAAAATGGGATTCCACGCTCCTAGGAAGTGCATTTCTAAAGCCCATTTGAACAAATTTTATTCTATGATAATTATATTGATTAACAGAGATTAATTCCTAAAAATCTTGTTGAATATAGTTCCCCTTCCAAATTCTGATTATACATTTCATCCCATAGTCTCTGTTTAAATTCATTAATTTATGCTTTCCTGCATACCAATTGTTTATTAAGTGCTCAGCACAGTTATTGGTAGCAGGGGTGCAGCAAAGAACAAAATGAGCCCCCCTCCACCCCAAACTCCTGTTTTCATGGAATTTACACTCTTGCTGGAAACACAGACAATGAACACAGTGAAAAATGTTTTGGTTACATACCACTGCACAAAAAACCACCTAGTGGCTTAAAACAACAATGATTTTATCATCTCCTGCCTCTCCTGGTCTGCTGACTGGACTCATCTGGAGGGTGCTTTTGTTCCATGTGATGTTAGCTTGAAGGGCTGGGATGTCCAGTGTCCAATGCGGCTTCCTCCTATGCCTGACCTCTTAGTGGAAACAGCTGGAGAACCGGATTCAAGTGGGACACCGGAGGGCTGGGCCTCTCCGTTTCTCCATGTAGTCCACGGGCTCACTCTTTCCACAGGGTGTTGTCTGTCTCTACAGAGTCTACCAGCAGAGTAACCAGCCTTTGCACGGGGTAGCACAGAGCCCTCCCAAGCACAAAGTCAGAAGTCAGCAAGCCCTCTGAAGGTTTAAGCCTGGAACTGGCTCCGCATCCTTTCTGCCAGATTCTCAAGGTTCAAATGAGTCTCAGAGCCGCCCAGATTCTCCAGGAGGGGGACTACCCAAGGGAGTGAATCCCGGGAGGCAGGGTTCACTGGGGGGCTATGTCTGGGAACAAAGGACACGAAAAAGTAAAATATATAGTAGACGGTGAGGTGGTTAAGTGCAACAGAGAAAAATAAAACCCCGAAGGGAAACATAATATTGGGCTAGTGTTGCAATTTTGAATATAACATCCAGAGGAAATCTCCAGGAGGAGGTGACATTCAAGCCCCCAAAAGTTGGAAGGAGCTGAGGGGACAAGTCAGGCAGGCATGGGAACTTCCCTGGTGGTCCAGTGGTTAGGAATCTGCCCCGCAGTGTGGGGGACGCAGGTTTGATCCCTGGTCGGGGAACTGGGTTCCCACACGCTGTGGAGCAACCGGGCTCACGCGCTGCAACAACTGGTCCACGTGCCGTCTTCACTGCTAGGAGAGCCTGACAGCAGGGACGGCAGCAAGGGTGGAGGGTGCCAAGCCCTGCAAAGCGAGCTCCCCGCACCCGAGCAAGAGCAGGGAGCCTGTGAGTGAAGAAAGCAAAGGGGAGAGGGGTAAGAGATCAGGAGGGTCAGGGGAGATGAGGTCAGCACCCGGCAGCTTTGGCACCAGAGGATCCGCTTTATTTCTCCTGTGGGGGACTCTGCTTCCTCCGTCAAGGAGCGGGAGGGCAGACCAGGAATGTTGGCAAGAGCGCCGGTGGCTCAGGTTTCTTCAGGCTTAAATGTTTACTCATATATCTGCTGCACCACTCATATCCCATTATTTCCCTTGAGATCTATGCAAGATATGTGGCAATATTCTCAATTGCCTTGATGTAACAAGCTGTACAGCCCATCTCTGAGTTTGCTTTTCATCAGTCTCAGCCCCGTGACAACTAGTAAAAAGAGATGCATGGGGCATGGTGACAGGAAGACTCTGGATTTTAGTCCGTGCTTCCCAGTGAAAATGGTAACATTTGGGGTCACAGTTCCCTCAGTTTCATTTATCCAGAAACCGGATAAACAATCACAAAAGCCAACAGTTCCTAGAAGGTTCACCCACAGTGTTCCGGGCAGCCCCATCCATGACCTTATTTCCCAGCTCTCCTTTATGTATCAGGGACTTTAAATTTCCCATATCAGAAATTTAATGTCAGTGCCATTGCTTTTTATTATATTTTAGCTTTGATTATTATTATGATGATGATATTTAGCTTTGATATTTTAGAATTGATTCCACATATACCAGTCATCTCGGGGTGGGGGAAGGTCTGTGCCCTTTTCTATACCTAACAGCCTCGCCTATGCTTTTGAGCTCATTTCTGCATCCTTCAGTGTTCTTTGGTTACAAGCA